AGGATTGAGAGGTAATATTAAACAAGTGATTGCTGCCTGTAATTCATTTTCTACTTCTTTCATGATAGTTCAAATAGCGTGTTGTTTATTTAATAATAATAGTCCTCTTGTTGGTGTTGTCAGTGGATCTATGGAACCAGGGTTCTTTAGAGGTGATATTTTATTATTGAAAGACAAAAAGTTAGAGTGTGGTGATATTGCTGTATTTAATGCTCGTAAAACACCTATTGATATTGTTCATAGAATTATCAAATTAGATCATAAAGGAAGAGCTCTTACAAAAGGTGATAATAACAGAGGTAACGACATTCCTTTATATAGACCAGGTCAAACAAGATTAGATCCTTCTGATCTTAAAACCACTGCTTTCTTTTATATTCCTTTATTGGCTTTACCTTCTATTTGGATTACAACATTCCCAATTTTAAAATATCTTGTAATAATCTTCTCATTATTATCAATCTATTTTACTGTTGATGATTATTAAATTTGATTATTAGAACTTATTTAAAGTTATTATAGAGATTAAGGTTAATATAAAAATTTTTTTAAATAAAATTTTTTTATTAACCTTAATTATGAATTTCAACGTTTTAAAATCAACACTATTACATTTATACATTTTAAACCTGAAATTCTTCACTCCATTAATTGAATTACTTTGTTTTTTATTTGATTATTGTTGGAATAATAACACAATGAGTTCATCCTATTACATGATTTACTTATCATCATTTGTCCTATTTAATTCAATTATTATTTTAATTGGAAAACAAATTCAATTCCTTTCTTATTATCATGTTTTATTTATCCAATCTTAAACACTCATTATTTAATCAATATTAACAACATTATTCACCTATTCTTATGTTATATAATGTGTTTTATTATCTGTTGTATTTTATATTTATTATTTAATAGAATTTTTAAAATTATACTATTTATATTAAACATGCTATTGTTTTTATCAAACACATGGTCCTGTATTAAATATTACAATGATAGTAAAAAAGTAAAATTCTTTCTTCTGTTACTAATCATAACTTACTTAATTTTATTAACATTATTTACAAATTATGTTCATTTAATTTTAGTTGCTATTATTGAATCAGTTTTAGTTAACACTCTACTTAACACAGTTTGGAATTTTAAGGATTTATTTGATAATGATGATCTTTTTAATAATATTAAATTTAAAGAAACATTAAAAATTTTAAGAAATTATAGTCATTTAAAACTTTTTACGCATTCATTTATGCTATCAGTAGTTATTTACTTCGAAATGATATTTTTTATTGATTCAATCATATTTTTAATCAGAAAAATAAAAAAATAAAATTTTATCATTTATTTCTTTTTAGAAATTTCATTGCTAATTGTATTAAAAATTTTAGTTTTAGTAATATCACTCATAGACTTAAAACATTCTTCTCCAAATGATCCAGTAACTGGATTATTAATAGCTTCAGCCACTATTTCATAAACATTAAGTGAATCAATTGCAGTTGTCTCACCTAAATTTTCTTCAATATACTGACCATAAACATCCGATTCTAGTAAATTTTCATCTTGATCAGAACTTCTTTCTTTTCTCTCTAATAACTCACGTCTCTTAATTGCGCCAGGAAGA